AACTCGATTATTTTTAATTGACTTAATGCAGCTTTACTAGTTTGTTTTCCTTTTTTACAATGAGCAACTTGTCCAGTGGCATATTCACTTAAAATTAATCCAGTCAATGAATGATTTATTTTACAATATGAAACGATGTCACTATCCTCTTCAATAAGCCATTGTAAATATTTAAATTTATTTGCATTAGATTCTTTTGGCTCAAGAAGTAACGCCTTTTTCTTTCGTATCTTCTTTTCCTGTTCTAATTGTTCTTTAGCTGATTTACTTGACATAAAGTTATTATTTAATAGTTCTTTGTTATTTTTAGTTAAGTTGTGTTGTAATAACTGGAAAACCTTTTTTATTAAAGGAAAAATACACAGTGAATTTCTAGCATTTGATATTGTTATATTTTATATTCTTTTAATTTTATGTTACTAACCTTTCATAGGTTAAAGTGAGTAATATCTCATAAAAAGACAAAATTAAAAGAATAATTTATTGTTATTGCATTTAAAATTACATAAAGAAATATAAATTTGAAAGAAAGTCATTAAATTTAAAGTTCAAATTACAAGTCAAGATAATGTGCTAAAAATTAAATCTATTTATATTCTAAATAAATACCAAAAAATTATTATGTAACAAACATGCGAGTAACAATTCTAAAGCATTTGATGGGTCGATATCAAAGTTTGGAATAACATCTTGAGATGGTGCACGTGAGTACATTTGTCTGTAGTACATATACTCAATGGTTCGTTCTAATAATTTGCTTGGAATTCCAGGAATAGGAATAGTAATGATACCTTCTGTTGGTTGGTCTTCAAGCATTGTTTTAAGTGTTCCACTGTGTTGTGCACACTCACGAGAAATATAAAATTCATGACCATCTTGTGAAATAAGTTTTAGATTTGGTATATCCATTTTGTTGATAAAGTCTGAGAATTAAAAGTTAAATCTTCTATTTTCTCTTTATTTTGAGATTAGGATTAATGATAAAAAAAGTCATAGAACAAAACATATCAATTGACTTTATATATCTCTCCATTAATTCTTCTCTTTGTAATAACTATCATATTTTAAATTATGAACTAAACCTATTATAATTCATTTATACCATGTAAATATAAAAGTATTTTGTTTTTATTTTGAAAGTTGCATACCAATAACTAATGTTTTTCTCTTAATATTTTTGTTTTACTCAAGTCTTTAAATTTAAAGAAATTGTTGATTCATAAGTTATATTTTTTTATTTTTTATTATGCTAACTTTCAGATAAACGATAATTGAAATTTAATTTTCTTCTATTTGAAGTTTGTTCTTTATTAATGTTTTTATAGCCTGATGTAATTTATAAAAAAAAATTAATGGAGCTAGTTATAATAAGATTAACTTGTTGCTACTAGAACATATTATTGTCAATTGGTATTTCTCTAGTATATAATTGCTATATCTTTGAAATAGCATTTATTGACTTTTTCTAAATAAATAGAAATTATAGTCCAAAAAAAAAATAAAAAATTTAGTCTTTATTTTCCTGACTTTCACATCTTCCGAACTCAATTAATACATTATTGCTTTATGGGGATTTGCCATATCTGTAAAGAACAAACTACTTTGTATTGTGTTGACCATGAGAAACATATTTGTTTAAACTGTCTTTTAAAAAGCCATAAAGAAGTTTGTTGAAAATATTGTTATTTGATTAAATAGACATTCATAGTTTAACCATAGTGCACAATTTGTCAATATGTGGATTATGTTGATGGTAAAGTAAAAAAAGATAACACATGTCATTTGTGTGGAGAGGAAATATTTGAAGGGGATTTAATAGTTCGATTACCTTGTTTACATAAATTTCATCAAGAATGTTTATTAAAATCATTAAGTAATATCCATTTAAATGAGTCAGAAAGTTGTGAAAACCGGTTTAAATGTCCAGAGTGTTTAATAGATATTTTTACAGAAGAAAATAAAAACACAGTATTAATGCAATCTCTTATTCAACAGTTTAAGCAATTAGAATTTATAAAAAAGTATGCAAATATTAGTGATGAGAATGTTAGTGAGTCTACAACAAGTGAAGTTATGGCAGCTATTAGCTTGAAAAATAATGAAGAAGATAGTATTGTAGTATCTCAGTCTGTTGACACAACTAAAAAAGGAGATGATGTGGCAATTGGAATAAACCCTGAAGAACAAAGCATTGAATTAGAAATAGATGAAGATGAAGACAAGAAAATAGTGACAAGAGATATGGATGGAAATTCTTTATTACAAACGTTTGTTGTTTGTGTTTTTCACTGAATAGTTTTTGATTTATAATTTAGTAAAATTATTCTTACGTGGAGAACTAAAATTCTTATTGTGATACTTGTCATTTGTTTCATTTTCCTTATTAAAGCTTTGATCAACCAACATAATATGGTTATCACTAATAAACAAGAACAAAACCTAAAATAATTTAAGTCTCTTTTGATATATTTACTTTTCAGTTTTTAAGTCAACAATTAAACGTTGTTTTGGTAATGTGAATATAACATTTCTTTTAACTAACTCATTTGTAAGTAATTCAATAATCATTTTTTTAGCTTTAAGATACTTTCCTGGGTCGTTATAAGTGATGTTATTTACTTCAATCCATAGTAAGAAATTAATTTTATGTTCAAGAGTCACATCAACTGGAGAAAATATTATATCTGTATTCCACTTAAACGTTGTATCTGTTTTAACAAATTGTTCTAATGAAACTCGAATTTCTTCAATAGTTTTAAAGTCAATAGTTATGTCAACATTGATGTATAATTCAATTGTATAAAATGGTGAACGTTTAAGTTGTGTGATAACACTATTGTATAAAAAGTCATTAGGGAGAATGTATTGTTCTCCATTTGGGTTATGAGCAACAGTACTTAGTAGTTGAACTTCATCAATAATGACTGCCGGAAAACCAGTTACTTGAATTCTGTCACCGATATCGAATGGTCGAATGAAAATAACAAGAACAAGACTTTCCCAAACTCTTTTCATATAATTTCCAAATATGAACGAAAAGCCAAGAAAGAAAGTACAGGAAGGTAATAAATATGATGAAATTGGAACTCCATTAATTAAACAAATAACTATAAGAATTAAAAGGATTCCAAAGACATCAATAATACGAGAAAGCGCTATTGAGATTGTTTCTTTATCACGAACTTTTCTCTTTAATAAATCTTTTTTTTTATCAACTAATCGAATTGCTGAAATACAATCCTCTATTTCTATAATATCTTTTTTAAACATTTCATCAAACCACTTATTAGTTTCTTCTTCATAAAAACATCTCTTTATAATTGATTTTTTTATTTGGTGATGGTCAATTTCTGAAAAGAGAATTTGGTCAGAAGACATAATAGTTTCATTTACTCTAGACAATGGAACTCTTTCAGTTTGAAAAGACTCATTTTTTGTTTCATACCCATTGATTATACATGTTTGCAATTGATGGAGATTATCAAACAGCTGTTTACTTTTTTGTTCAGTCTCTCTTTCATCGATTTGATTTTTTGCTAATAAACTTTCTTTGTCAAGAATCATTCTATTGATGATATCTCTCCACACTATTTTTTTATTCATTAAATAATGTTCTTCAACAGGGTTAGGAGCGTTATTATGTAATAAAAAATTAACAACTAATTCACACCTAATGTTGTTAGTAAGTTGGGGTAGTAGTTGATTTATATTGATATGTGTTGATATGAGATAACATATAACAACACAAATGATTCTAACAACACATATATCAATAAGAATATAATGGATATTGACAACAACTATAGATATTTGTTTCCATACTGTTCCAAAAAGAGTTTTGAACAAAATAAATGAAAAAGAAGTAACAAGAAATGTACAACAATAATATGCAAGATGAGGAGTATTGATTCTATGAAGTTGTTTTACTCTTAACAAATAATTTTTTGTAAGTAGTAATAATATAAAAACTATATGTATGCTGAGGACAGTACATGTAAAATATAATGGATAATAGAATAATGCAACTCCAAAGAAGTTAAAGTGATAGAAACTACTTACAATAGTTAAAATAATATTAATTATTTCAAGAATTATTAATCCAATATTACTAATAATTATGAAAATTCTCATTAAAATAGAAGAATTGATAAAAATTTTTCTTGAAACATCTAATTCTTTAAAGAAAATCCTTTTCATTAAAAAGTGATATAATCACAATCATATCTTCATTCATAATGATACAATTTTGAGTTTTCAAAAAAAAAATTAATAAAATTATAGTAAAAATACAATAAAAATATTAATATTAAAAAAAAAAAAAGAAAACCTATACAACTGGATTGGTGTAATACTTATGAACACAACAATCTACAATCAATTACTTGTTCAAATAGTAGAAAACCAATTTGGTAAATTTGTCGGACAAATAACAAAATACTTATTAGTTAAACCATCAACTATTTTTGATTTATGGAGACAATGTCATCAACCATATTCAAAGATGTATGAAGCACTTTTTGTGTTACTTCATCATAGCATATTGAAGTATTCAAATGAAGAACCCGTAATTATTTCTATTGACCAAAACCGTATATTATTTTCATTACGTCACTCTCATTTTATTGCCTTAATGCAACAAAAATTTGGTGAGTTAGCTAAAGAAATTTCAATAACTCTGATTACATATGGTATGCTCAATTTTGAAGATATATTTGCTGTTCTTCAATCGAAGAACATTGATGTAAAAGAAAGTGATTTAAAAGCAGTATTTGATGAAATGGTTAAAGAAAAATATATTACTCGAGTAAATAAAAATGTTGTTGATTTAGTCCAACTAGAACGTACAAGTACTCCAGCTCCATCATTTTCTACTGTAAAACAAAATGAAAATGTTAGAAGAAAAGGAATAAGAAAAAGAGGAAAAATTGATGTTGTTACTGAAAATCCTATTCCTAAAAAAGTTAAGGTTGGAATTGATTTAAAAGCACAAACTAATTTGAATTCTACTACAAAAGCTGAAGACTCTGATAATAGCCAACCAGTTTGGACAGTGAATATTGAAGTTTATAATAAAGAAACTATCTTATACAAATTGTTGGATTTAGTTAATAAGAAATTTGATAATAAAGCTGTTCCAATTATTGAAAAAATGTGGGATTTATCTGCATACGGAAAAACGCCTGTTGATTTCGCTATTTTATGTCAAAATTTAAGAGAGATAGCACCTGAAACGATTAGAAAATATCTTGAAATGATGAGTCGAGATGAGCCATTTATTATTGCAAAAAATCAATCAGCATTTGTTAGTGATACTAACAGTTTTAAATTACGTTTGAAAATTATTATTTTATTAATAAAAAATTAATAATTACTTATATATTAGAGGTTGATGCCGCAACAGCATTTTTAAAGGGGGTTATGATTGAGTCATGTATTCAATCAAAATTTGGAGTTATTGGAGCAAGCATTCATAGGGTATTAAAAATTAAACATATTCTAACTGATTCTCAAATCGCTGATTTATTAATTGGAGAAGGAGAAGAAGTTAAACGAGGATTATATCAAATGCATCAAGCAGGATATATCAATGGACAAGAAGTTCCTAAATCAAATATAAGAGGTGGCAAAAATTCATATTATATGTGGTCTATTAATTTTTCACAAATTAATGCCATATTATTAAGTGAAACAGCAAAGTCATTGATGAATACAATGGACCGATTAAAGTTAGAAATATCATCAAAATCTGCGTTAATAGCAAAATATAATGAAGGAGTAGAAATTGGTCAGATATTATTAAATGAAGAAGAAAATGAAGAATATATGAATTTAGATAGAAGACAAAAAATGTTATTGGATGGGTTGTATTACCTTTCTGGTTTATTCTTCTGTTTGAAAGATTATTAAAACAAATTGATTTGATTTATTTTTATTATCATCTTTTCTTAAAAATTTGTTTTGTTAAAAGAGAAAAAAAAATGTTGAAAATATGAATAAATGTATTAATACAAATCACTCAAATTGAATAGCTAATAATCGTTTACAAACTATTGAACTTTTTTGAAATGTGAGTGATAATATATTTTGTATTTCTTTACAATCAAATGAATGAGTAATTAATTCAGAAAGACTAACATCACCATTTGATTTAATTGTAAAAGCGTTAATACAAGAAAAGACTGTATCTTTTTCAGGACAATAATATAATTCAATATTTGGTTGATTTTTGTTTAATCTTTTCAAAATAGTTTCATAAACTGAAATATTATCTTTAATAAAAAAGATAAACGAACCCTTTGAATAAAATTCGTTACTTGAACATTTGTTAAATGGAGCAATTATGTCTTTATGAAAACATCCAAACCTAATTCCATCTGCAATACATATAAACAAAATACTTTCTTTTCCAAAAACTTTAGAACTTAATATCCTATTATCTAGTCCATCTTGATTTGAATCAAATATTATCTTTTCTGTTTTAATTCCAATATTTCTTCTAATAAATCCGATACGTTCAACCAATCGATAAATTGGTTTTTCATTATGCACATTTGGAGAAAGATAACTAGACAAATATTGATCATTTATACTTCTTCTTTGTTGTGGTTTAGATGATAACTTGAGTATTTCAGATGAGCTTTTTTCAAGAGGTTTAAAAAAGCTTCTAGACTCAAGGGTTATTGATGGTATTGACGTTATAAGTGACATACATTCAACTGAATTAATGGCATCATCACATTCTTCAGAACTTGTGTCAGAACTAGAATGGAGTCTAAAAAGTGTGATGCTCTTCTTAGTAAAATTTTTAATACAAAAGCTTCTACTAACCCTCTTTTTAGTTTTACTGGATTCCTTACTTGTATTCATTCACTAAAAAGAACTAGATTTGAATCAAAGGGATTAATACTTTAAATTAATTTCGAGAACAGCAGAAAACTCTATGATTTCAATTTACTTAGAGTCACATAAACAAAAATAGATTACTTCAAAAAACTTGAAGTTATTTTTAATTTTTTCTACTCAAATCAAAAGAATCTATATTTATTAATTAGAAAGATATTAATGAGTGGAATTATTTTAATTTATTAAAATACTCAGTAATGTTTTGTATTGATTCATCACTCCTCAACTAAAGAAGATTAAAAGAAATTAAGTCTATGTTCATTCTCGCACATTACTTGAAATATTTTTTAAAAGGAATAACAATATTCATGACTTTTATTTAATAAACAATAAAAGTTTGTGATTAAATATGATATATATAACATTTAATAATTATTAAAAAAATATTAATGGTTTTCAAGATAAAATAATTATTAACGTATTAGTAATAAAAGAGTATTAAATGTGTAATATCTTTTTTATTAACGAAAAGCTCATAGAACAATAAGACTATGTAAGACTTAAGAAATTGAATTTTTAAATAACAAGAATATTTAAATAATAAAAAAAACTATTGAAAGAAGTAAAGTCTAAAGAGAAAAGAAAAAATAACAAAGAAAACCCTGAAAATTTTACAAAAAAAGTACTAGGGTTGAAAAAAACCAGACAACAGACATGGCTGTATTGAACAAAGCAATCAAAGTTAAAGGAGATGAAATGAATGAAGAAGAAGCAATTAAATTATTCCAAACTAAACGTTTAATTAAGAATATTGAACAAGCTCGAGGAGATGGTACATCAATGATTACTCTTATTATGAAACCAATGGAACAAATCTCTAAAATGATGCAAAAATTAGTTGAAGAATATGGAACTGCAACTAATATTAAATCACGTGTCAACAGACAATCTGTTCTTACTGCCATTACATCAACTCAAAACCGATTGAAGTTGTATCACGTAGTTCCACCAAATGGACTTATTATTTATTGTGGTTCAGTTTATACTGAAAAAGGAGAAAAATTATTATGTATTGATTTTGAACCACCTAAACCAATTAATACATCAACATATCTTTGTGATAATAGATTCCATACTGAAGCCCTTAATGATTTACTCCAAAATGATGATAAGTATGGATTTATTATTATGGATGGTAATGGTACTTTATTTGGAACTCTTCAAGGAAATACTCGTACTGTTCTTCAAAAGATTAGTGTTGAATTACCAAAGAAACATGGTAGAGGAGGACAGTCATCTGTTCGTTTCGCTCGTTTAAGACTTGAAAAAAGACATAATTATGTACGTCAAGTAGGTGAATTAGCTGTACAAAATTTCATTACTGATGATAGACCAAATGTATGTGGACTTATTCTTGCTGGTATTGCAGATTTTAAAACAGTCTTAAACAAATCAATGTTATTTGATCAAAGACTTCAAGCAATTGTATTAAATATTGTTGATGTATCTTATGGAGGAATGAATGGATTCAATCAAGCTATTGAACTTTCTGCAGAAACATTAAGAAATGTTAAATTTGTTGCTGAAAAAGATTTGATTAATTCTTTCATGGACAATATTAAAATGGATACTGGTAAATTTGTTTTTGGAGTTCAAGAAACATTGAAAGCATTAGAAATGGGAGCTGTAGAAAAATTAATTGTTTGGGAAAATCTTCCTACTATTAGAATTGAATTAAAACATCCACAAACTGATGAACGAAAAGTTCTTTATTTAAAGAAGGAATCAGAAGCTGCAGAAAATGGAGTTATAAGAGATCCAGAAACAGGAGTTGATTTCCAATTAGTAGAGAGTGAGTCATTTGTTGATTGGTTATCAAAACATTATAAAGAATTTGGTGCTCATCTTGAATTTGTTACAGATAAGTCTCAAGAAGGAGCTCAATTTGCAAAAGGATTTGGTGGTATTGGAGGTATTTTAAGATACCAATTAAGTATGGATGAACTTGATGATAATTTCAATATGAATGAAGAATTTGAACATGAAGAAGAAGATGACGATGATATTTTTGGAGATGAAGCAGATCATTTCCAAGAATTTGATGATGAATTTGGTTTGTAAGGACTTTAAAAAAGAGGGTCAATGGCAGAAGTAACTTCTTTATCAGAATTAACACAATTGCTTTTTTTATTAAGAATAATTTCTTTATTTTCAGTTATCAAATAAGTATTTTTCGCTTATAGTAATTATTTTTGAAAGAAGAAACAAATAATCGGTTATTAATAAATCACTCATATTTTATTTGTTTGTATATTTATTAATAAAATAAAAAACAAATTTTTGAAAAGCAGTTTGGACCAAAGGTACCAAAGAAGAACAAAGAAGAAAAAAGAAAAGATAATTGAATTAATCAAAGAACGAAGAAGTTTAACCAAATATTAGAAGATCATTATTGTTAAAAAATTATTTAAATGAACAACCCTTAGATCTATAAATAGTCAGAAGAGATGCTCGACTTTGAATTAACAGTCTACATCTTAGTATGTTACTTTGTCTGTGTGATTGGTGGATTTATTCCATTCTTTATTAAACTCTTGCCTAACAGAAAACTTGCTGGTGAAATTTTAGATATTTGTAGTGCATCAGCTGGTGGATTATTCTTATCTGGTGGATTAATGCATATGTTAGCTGAAGGTAATGAGATGATTGACCATTCAGGATATGACTTTATGGGTCTTCCACTTGGATTCTTTTGTTGTGGTTGTTCATTCTTATTTATCTTTTTCTTTGATAGAGTGGTAGCAACACATGAAGCTCATGCTTCATTTGAAGATGTAGGAAAGGTGTCAGGGTTTGTTATATATTTATTATTACAAATGTAACTTTCTTAAAACTTCATTTAGTTGAAAACTATATTTACTTTTTAGAGAAGAGAATGACGCTCTTATGGAAGAAGGGTCTCATAGACATAAACATCCTGAAGAAGAAAAAGAAGAAGGAAAGGGATGGTGTTCAATTATTACATTAATTTTTGCTTTATCGTTACATTCTTTCTTTGAAGGTCTTGGACTAGGTGTTTCCACAAGCCCAACTGCTATTTTTATAGCAGTTGCAGGACATAAGTGGGCCGATTCAGGATTCACTGTTATTTTCTTGATGTCAAAAATTCAGTCGTTACCAATTGTTGCGGTTATTGTATTAGTCTTTTCAACATTTACCCCAATTGGGTCATTATGCGGAGTGTTAATTGTTGAATTATTAGGAGAATCTCCTATTTCTGAATTGATTCAAGGAATTTTAATTTGTTTAGCAGCAGGAACATTCTTATATGTAGCTATTTGTGAAATTCTAACTGAACAATTTGAAAATGGAAAATATAAATACATTAAATTTACATTAGCTCTTATTCTTTTCCTTGCTATGTCATTTGTTACTATGTTAGAAGGGAATTAATTGGTTCAAATATTATACAAAAGTAAAAGTAATTTAATATTATCAGGAATATTTTAATATAATTCTTTTAATTTTTATTATTAGACTATTATTTATGTTATTATTTTTTCTTATTTATTTATTGTTAGTCTTGGCATTTTCCTGTGTTTGTTTTAACCAATCATTTTACAAAATAATTTTTTTGAAAATGGAATAATGAAATTCATAATAGATGGAAAGATATTTCTTTCAAAAAAAAACTTCAACTCTTATACTAAGTTAGTTCAATAATTCTTAATATTTAATTAATGATATTTCATTCCATGATTTGTTCTAACTATTGAAAGATTATTATTAGAGTAAATTAATGTGTTTAATAAAATAATTTGTCTGTATAAAATATCATTAAAGAATATTAAACTTCTGTTTATTTGAAAAAAAAAGAAAGTATTAGTTATATTTAATTAATTACCTTAAAATAACTAACTCAAAACATTATTTATAAATGAGTAATGAGAATATTAACTGGCAATTAAACTAACAATATTAATTGTTTGTATAAAATACATATCAGTTAATAACAAAGATTGAGTTAGAATTTATTTTAAGTATTTACCAGATAGAATAGTTTTATATTTCATGAAAATGGAAATATGAAAAGATTAATTTCAAAGTTATTACATCAAGAAATTAAAAGAATAAAATAGAAAATGTTTTACATTTATTTAAATTATATGGAATGTTTTATTGATGTATTGAATAGATGTGCATCTAGAATTTCTGTAAATATAAGAGTATCGTTTAAATGAAATATTATTGTTGTATACAAAAGGTAATAACAGAAATTGTGGCTTGTTACTATTGATTATTTTTTTGATTATAACAAGAGACAATAACTAAGAATAATTGAGTCTGTTAATTAGGCAAAAAGAGTAAAAAGAAATAAATTAATTAGTTTGAACTCCCCAAGCAATAACATGTCTGTCTAAACCAGCTGTATAAAGAACACTCTCATCATAACTAAATGAAGAGCAAATTTGAAGTCGTAAATGTTCTCTTTGTAAAACATCAGCACCAATTTTTAATTTACCATGACGTAGTCCATTTGAATCAATAATAATCCAGGATTTATCTTCAGCTTGTACAAGGAATTTATCATTTTGAGAGATATTTATTTTAGAAGGATATGATATTTTATACATTGCTTTAGGGACTTTCATCATTTTAGTGTCCCATATTTTTACTATTTTATCAAAACCCGTTGATACAATTGTTTTTCCTTGTTCACAAAATTGAGCTGAAATGCATGAACTACTTAAATCAATAATTGGTTGATAAATAAAAAAAAACTAATTAATAACAAACTCTGAATGTGCATTAATACATTCTATTCGAGCATGATTTGGAGTTCTAATATCTATAAGTCTTAAACTACCATCAGTTGCTGTACATGAAAGAATTGGGGAATAAAGATCAGAAGCTAATGAGGTGATATGATCATTTATTCCAATACTAGAACTAATTGATGAAATGTGTTCTCCATGTAAATCATAAACACCAACAACACCACCCCAAGTTGCAGTGTAAATTGA